TAATTATGACAACATAATTAGCCGTAAATTGGAATACGCAGCGGATAAAACAAGTAGAAGGTTAGGAAAAAGTCCCAAGAAGAGCTATTAAAGGTCTACCAGGATATAAAAAAATATATGAATTATTATTAAAAGTTGACAGAAGAAAAAGAGAAGACATGATCAGCACACAGAGGTAATAAAAGAGAGATAAAGGATATATAGAACCTACATCAGAGAAAGCTAAAGACAACAGATGTAAATTGAGGAAAATGTGGAGCCAAGGCTTGTTAGAACATGTTTCCTTCGTAAACAGTGATTGATCTGAGGAATTATTTACAAAGAAGAGGTTGTAAGTGCTACAACTAATGAAGCTTTTGAAATGTATACAGAATGAACACTTTACTCTCTCTCTTTCTCTCTCTCTCTCTCTCTCTCTCTCTCTCTCTCTCTCTCTCTCTCTCTCTCTCTCTCTCTCTCTCTCTCTCTCTCTCTCTCTCTCTCTTTTCTCTCTCTCTCTCTCTCTCTCTCTCTCTCTCTCTCTCTCTTTCTCCTCTCTCTCTCTCTCTCTCTCTCTCTCTCTCTCTCTCTCTCTCTCTCTTTCTCTTCTCTCTATCTCTCTCTCTCTCTCTCTCTCTCTCTCTCTCTCTCTCCTCTCTCTCTCTCTCCTCTCTCTCTCTCTACATACACACACACACACACACACACACACACACTGCAGCGACCAGCGAAAAGGCGGGGCTAGGAGCTGTGAATCAAACAAAGACACATCACTCACCAAACCCTCAGCAATGAGCTCCTGGATGGCAAGAGTAACTCCCTCTTCGTCTCCCGTCTTGTAGACGTACAATGCCAGATCCAGAGGGGTGTAACGCACATGTGGATTCTGCAACTGTATACAGAGAGTCAGTCTGGGTAAATAAACAATGTATTTATGACAGTACCTTAGGTTATGCAATTTGTTATTATAAGTGATAGAAGTAATTACGATGGATTAAATTGCATTAACTTAGCCTAAGGTAAATTAACAACTTAACTTATTCATGAATATTTCAGCGGCTAGGAAAACAGGATATTTCTGTTGTTTAGATTGGGTTTAAATGAATGCAGTGCAACGTGTCGTGAGTGAGATAGAACGAATCTAATTATGCAAGAGTCAGGTCAGATGAGGAAAAATTGGAACTAATTAACCTTAAAGCTAATTAATGCATTAACTACATAATATGTTAGATAACAACAGTATTTAGATAAGGCTAAAGAGGTCTTTGTGGCATTTATGGATTTGGAAAAGGCGTATGACAGGGTGGATAGGGGGGCAATGTGGCAGATGTTGCAAGTGTATGGTGTAGGAGGTAGGTTACTGAAAGCAGTGAAGAGTTTTTACGAGGATAGTGAGGCTCAAGTTAGAGTATGTAGGAAAGAGGGAAATTTTTTCCCAGTAAAAGTAGGCCTTAGACAAGGATGTGTGATGTCACCGTGGTTGTTTAATATATTTATAGATGGGGTTGTAAGAGAAGTAAATGCGAGGGTCTTGGCAAGAGGCGTGGAGTTAAAAGATAAAGAATCACACACAAAGTGGGAGTTGTCACAGCTGCTCTTTGCTGATGACACTGTGCTCTTGGGAGATTCTGAAGAGAAGTTGCAGAGATTGGTGGATGAATTTGGTAGGGTGTGCAAAAGAAGAAAATTAAGGTGAATACAGGAAAGAGTAATGTTATGAGGATAACAAAAAGATTAGGTGATGAAAGATTGGATATCAGATTGGAGGGAGAGAGTATGGAGGAGGTGAACGTATTCAGATATTTGGGAGTGGACGTGTCCAGCGGATGGGTCTATGAAAGATGAGGGAATCATAGAATTGATGAGGGAAAAAGAGTGAGTGGTGCACTTAGGAGTCTGTGGAGACAAAGAACTTTGTCCTTGGAGGCAAAGAGGGGAATGTAGAGAGTATAGTTTTACCAACGCTCTTATATGGGTTGTGAAGCGTGGGTGATGAATGTTGCAGCGAGGAGAAGGCTGGAGGCAGTGGAGATGTCATGTCTGAGGGCAATGTGTGGTGTGAATATAATGCAGATAATTCGTAGTTTGGAAGTTAGGAGGAGGTGCGGGATTACCAAAACTGTTGTCCAGAGGGCTGAGGAAGGGTTTGTTGAGGTGGTTCGGACATGTAGAGAGAATGGAGCGAAACAGAATGACTTCAAGAGTGTATCAGTCTGTAGTGGAAGGAAGGCGGGGTAGGGGTCGGCCTAGGAAAGGTTGGAGGGAGGGGGTAAAGGAGGTTTTGTGTGCGAGGGGCTTGGACTTCCAGCAGGCATGCATGAGCGTGTTTGATAGGAGTGAATGGAGACAAATGGTTTTTAATACTTGACGTGCTGTTGGAGTGTGAGCAAAGTAACATTTATGAAGGGGTTCAGGGAAACCGGCAGGCCGGACTTGAGTCCTGGAGATGGGAAGTACAGTGCCTGCACTCTGAAGGAGGGGTGTTAATGTTGCAGTTTAAAAACTGTAGTGTAAAGCACCCTTCTGGCAAGACAGTGATGGAGTGAATGATGGTGAAAGTTTTTCTTTTTCGGGCCACCCTGCCTTGGTGGGAATCGGCCAGTGTGATAATAAAATAATAAATAAACAATGCTTGAAACTGTAATGGTGGATTAGGTGATATTGGTGTACAGGAAGTTTGATGATGGAATTTGCGTTCGTGAGAGACAAAGGAGAAATTACAAAAACGTGAATACAGTACGCATGCGATATTGTGCATCTGGAATATAATATAAATGAGATATATTGGAAATATTGATATATTGTAGACTGCAGTGTTTAGGATGATTTTCGTTGGCTAAGAGCTTCATGAAGACCCTTTACAAAGTTTCTAGCAAGTGAAACAACGCCTAGATGAAATATTTAGAACTTTGAACCTGTGTATTTAACTAAAGTTTATTGTACTGATACATAATGTATGTGAGGTAATATCGACAAAATGATTCATTCCAATGGTATGAAGTTTTTTATTTTTGGTTGATAGTATTTATCCTCCATCATGATGTTCAACATCTCTGTGACGTCCTACGTCACTTTGACGTCCTACATCACTTTGATGTCCTACGTCACTTTGACGTCCTACATAACTTTGACGTCCTACATCAGTGTGGCGTTCTACGTCACTGTGACGTTCTGTGTCGCTGTGACATTGTACATCACTGTGACGTTCTACATCCCCGTGACGTCCTACAAGACTGTGGCATACAACTTCAGTGTGACGTCATACATTATCACGACGAACTACGTCAATACGACTTCCTACCCTGACGTACTGCATCAGTAAGGACGAAATACATCATTTTGATATCATGCACCACTGTGACATCCTACATCACTGCGACATCCTCGTGACGTCCAATATCATGGCTCCCACAACTTCGAACAGTGACTTAAATTTGTTTACATACAAACAAGGAATAAAAATTGTAATTTTGCGTATCTTTTTTATACTTAGTTTACCCGTAATTGTTTTCAATTAAGATGGAAAAAGCTAAAACTTAAAATACGTTCCAAGTTCATTTTAGCTCATCAGCTATTCAATAATATTTTTATATATTTTTTAATAACACTTCTTGATTAGCTAAACAAACATTTGACTCAAAAACTCCTGATAAATATGTTGGATAATTTTATTTTGAATGAGGGGGGGCTGAAAATATTACTTTTAAAATTAGCTGTTCACGTGTTCTAATTCTGGTAGATTTGTTGTTCCATTTTGCAGATCTTTGATTTGATTCAGTTTAACTCTTATCTAAGATAAATTAAGTGATTGCAGAATCACAGAATAAAAATATCACTAGTAATAGTTTCTAGGTGAAAGGTTTAGAGTTACAGCAGGCCTGTGCGAGAGTGTTAGATAGGAGTGAGTGGAGGCAAGTGGTTTTTATGACTTGACGTGCTGTTGGAGTATGAGCAAAGTAGCATTTATTAAGGGATTCAGGAAAACCGGTTAGCTGTGACATCTCAGCTCACTAGGGTAAAGTCATGTGGGACATTTAATTTCTGGAGCATTTCAGTAAGGTCAACATTATTTTAAATATTTTTATTGGCTGTCCCCAACTTCTTCCTTGAATTGCTTCGACCCACAGACCATCCGCCTTTATTCCTGCCGTACATAGGTATAGTTGTCTCAGTAAATTGGCAGATCGATTCGGGGCGCCCTTGTCTTGTTTGCTGTAGATCTGAGGGACGGATTACAAGCCTTGAACATCAAGAGCAGTCTTGCAACAGCCTATTGCCCAGAAATAAGGGGGCCAACCCAACTAAGCAGATCTGATGGATTTACCCTTCAAGCCTGGGCAAGCGGCAAGCAGGCAGTGAAAGACTTTACACTAGGGAGTAAGGAGAGGCAGCATCCAGCTTCATGGAGCTCAAAAAATTTAAAAAATGGTAAACTTGCCCATCATTATATGTTTGTTCCCATAGGCTCAGAGACCCTTGTCCCATGGGGAAAAATGCATTTAAGTTCCTTAAAGAGCTAGGCAAAAAACACATCAAGGCACCCAAGGATCAGAGGGCGGCTAGATTTCTATTCCAGCTACTTCAGCGATGCGGTTCAGAGGGGTAATGCCTGTTAAATTCAAGGTACGCACCCCAGCTCTGAGAGAAGCTGGGTGAGAGTTTTATTTTTTACCATTTATCAAACCCGTAGGAGCATGTACTTGTAACGTATCCCTCAAGTCTCATGTTTTGTATATTCCATCTTAGTACCATCAATATATTTTTTATGCCTTGTGTACCATATTACCTAACAAATTATACCTATTGGTAAAAATAACAAAAACATCTGGTGGTAGGGGAAGCGGTATATTCATATGGCTTCAGGAAGAAATCCAAATATTTTTCCTCAAAACTTTTTTTATCTACTTCTCCGAGGCTATGCGTACACACACACACACACACTGTATACCATTTACGTCAGGCCCATACTGGAGTATGCAGTACCAGTTTGGAACCCACACCTAGTCAAGCACGTCAAGAAATTAGAGAAAGTGCAAAGGTTTGCAACAAGACTAGTCCCAGAGCTACGGGGATTGTCCTATGAAGAAAGGTTGAGGGAAATCGGCCTGACGACACTGGAGGACAGGAGGGTCAGGGGAGACATGATAACGACATATAAAATACTGCGCGGAATAGACAAGGTGGACAAAGACGGGATGTTCCAGAGAAGGGACACAGACACAAGAGGTCACAATTGGAAATTGAAGACTCAGATGAATCAAAGGGATGTTAGGAAGTATTTCTTCAGTCATAGAGTAGTCAGGCCGTGGTATAGCCTAGAAAGTGACGTAGTGGAGGCGGGAACCATACATAGTTTTAAGGCGAGGTATGATAGAGCTCATGGGGCAGGGAGAGAGAGGACCTAGTAGCAATCAGCGAAGAGGCGGGGCCAGGAGCTGTGAATCGACCCCTGCAACCACAAATAGGTGAGCACAAATAGGTGAGTACACACACACACACACACATCGTGACCCTCGTACCGTGCAGATACCTGCTAGCAGCTCCTGGTTTAAACTACATTTTCAGTAGTTTTTAAGCGTTATCGACTAGTGAATTTTGCCAAGAAAAGAGAATTATCTCTGGGCATTTTGGAAATATAAGAATTTCACGGAAATATAATAGTGGAGGCCAGAAAAAACGGAATTAGTGATCGAAATTTGAAGTAATTAGCATGAAGGTGCCGGGTGAAGGTGACAGCTGACCCGATGTCACCTAAATAACCAAAAGGAACAATACCGTGACTGGAACGATACACAAATAACCCGCACATAAAAGAGAGAAGCTTACGACGACGTTTCGGTCCGATTTGGACCATTTGTAAATGGTCCAATCGGACCGAACGTGGGTCGTAAG